GAGAGAGAGAGAGAGAGAGAGTACATTAGAATGAAACATAAATGAAGAGTAGAAAACAAGCTTACAGAATTTTGGACAGATTTTATAATACTCGAAGATGAAGAATCAGACTTATCGCCTGCGGCCATTGCAACTACAGTCCTGCCCCTTTGGATTCCTGAAACAAAAAGTAATAATTTAAAAAGAGAGTACGAAAACAGATTTTCAAAATGATAAGAGTTCAAGGAATAATTCAGAAGTTTTTAGAGAGAGAGAGACTTATTATTTAGGCCACCAAAGCTTGAATTCAGTAAATAATAGACAAATAGCCAGGAATTTCATAATGAATTAACATGAGAGTGAGAAAAGTTTTATTCTTTATATGGAATCATAAAGTAAAATGCTCAAACCCAAATTCAAATGAGAAAAAGTTGAACACTACAGAGAGAGAGAGAGAGAGAGAGAGATTCTCACATTGAGTGGACAAAATCCCCAAAATTTCTAAAGTGAGAAAACAAATCAAGCTCATAAAACAACAAAGCAAAACATGGTGAACATTCTATCCTACTGTAATTTCCAGCAAAAACAACAATAAACTCCCCCAAAAATAACCCAACAAAATAAACAAGACATAGCTCCATCTCTCTCTACAAGTATGCAACTCTATCTTATATTCATTCATAGGAAACATGAAAAAGACTCATCTTTTCATTCTTATTTTTATCAATACATGAATAGAAAGATAAAATTAGCAACAAAAAAGTTCAAATTTTGAAGTACATAACTTACTTCCAAGATTCAAAGATGGGCTCTGAGGAAATGACCCATTGACTCTAATGGGTACTCTTCTATTGCAGAGGATAGCAGGAAATGCGGTCGCAAAAATGGAGGCCATTGTTTCCTTGAACTGCCAGAAATTCTAGAGAGAGCCTGGGCTATAAAAACAAAGACATAATAATAATATGAAAAAGTTTATATAGAGCCTAGGCTCTAAACAATCAAATTAGAGCCAACCTAAAAATTTTATTAGAAGAGGCTCTTTTGATGTTCAAATACTTTCAAATTGATCATCTCGATATCAAGATACATGGACATTAGAAAAAAATAGATTTCAAGTTTTGAAAATAATGCAACTTGTAACACATTTTTAGACCGTCAATTTTTAAAATTTTCAAGTTTTTATAGATATGCTCGATGTTCTATATTTTTTAAGCTTTAAATTTTATAATTAAAGATAAAAATATATTTTAAGGCTAATACAAAAATTTTTAGTTTTATATTTTTTAAGCTTTACATTTTATAATTAAAAATAAAAATTTATTTTAAGGCTAATACAAAAATTTTATGTGTTGAAACCACATTTTTCGACACTATTTGAAAGTGTGCTTTACTTTGATGGTTTAGAGTCTCGACTTTATACAAACTGCGCCTATAATAATAATTATGTGGTCATTTTTCATACGTCGGAATAGTGGCTTGCTGGTGAAAGAGGGAGGGAGGGTGGAAAGGGTGAAAATAAACATAAATAAACAGCCGAAATTAGTTAGGGTTTCATATAGCACAATAATATCATATCGAAATCAAAATTACATAGAAAAAGTTATTTTTATACCTCAGTTTTGTATATATATGAGAGAGAGAGGTACTACTTTCAATTGGGTTGCTTTGATTACTCAGTTTTATTGAGAGAGAGGGAGAGAGATTTTTTTTAGTTGGGTCTTTTTGATACCTCAATTTGTTTAGAGAGAGAGAGTAGTGTTGGGTTAAGGAAAGATGAGAGAGAGACGTCTTATTACAGTTGAGTTGTTTTGATACCTCAATTTGTTTAGAGAGAGTATAGTGTTTGCGTAAGGAAAGATGAGAGAGAGAGAGGTCTTATTTTCAGTTGAGTTGTTTTTATACCTCAGTTTTGTTAAGAGAGAGAGGGAGATATATTTTTTTTTTGTTTTTTTTTAATGTTAGGGAGAGACATATTTTTTAGTTGGGTTTTTTTTTTATACCTTAATTTTTTAGAGAGAAAGAGAGGGGTTTTTTTATACCTCAATTTGTTTAGAGAGAGAGAGGGAGTAAGGTCTGGGGAAGTGAAGAAAATGACATAGAAATTATTAGAGGGGACAAAGCTCCAATGATTCTCCACCACAAAACTGATAATATGTTAGAAGTCTTTTTATTTCCTTTTCCTGTTTTTCTCTTAAACCTTTTTATTTCCTTTTCCTATTTTTCTCTTAAACCTTTTTATTTATTGAGAAAGGTGAAGGCCTCCTCTCTGGTCAACTAGTAACAGTCCTCTATGTGAATCCCAAAATTGCTAAACCAGTATTTTTAAATCTGGAAATTTCTTGTTCGTATTGTTGATTTCGATGGGAATTAGGTAAGACTAAATCGGTTCAAAAATGGTAAGATTCATGGTGAGATTTCTGTCTACATTCCTTTTTTTTTTTCTTTTAAGCTTATTTAGTTTTTTTTAGATTTATTGTGAATTCCCACCACATAAATCTCTATTTTGATTTTTATATTTTTTTTATTTTTTTAATATTTTAATAAATCACCAATTCGAATCCATCCAGACCCAATCCGGATCGTCTATCCAATGATTTGACACGGATCCATAGGTGAACAATGCGCCCCACCAATCCCAATTTTCAAACAACTATCTATTAATGTTTTGAAATTTTGATTAAAACATTTAGGGACATTCTTAAAAGGTCAAGTATATTCTTCATTGAAGAATAGTGTTTCCAAGATAAGAAACACTATATTATAAAAATGAAATGTATACAAAAAGGAGTTCTCTATTGGAAACTCAATAGAGGCGTCCTATACATTTCTAGAAATATTGATGCAACGGAGCTGTTTTAAAATGGTACTAAAACCATTTATTTTTGATACAGGGATAATAATCATTATTAACCATTAAATATGATATTCAATAGATTAAAGTGTCACAATATTCGAAAATTTTTATTATGAATATTGTGCCTACTCAACGATACATCCCCCGATTTTACATCAATAATATTTGTAACCTTCTTGTACTAAAAATAAATGTTCTCGTGATATATATTTCCAATTGTTTTAAGTTATTTATTTGAATGAGCCAGCAATGAAGCTGCAAAAATACTTTAGATAAGAGTTTATATAAGCGTGGAACTAATGGAAAATGAGAGAAGGCGGGATTCCCCTACACTCTATTTTAGCTAAAATTTATTCTTGTTCTTATATGGTTCAAACTATCTACAGGGTCTTAGGGATCAAATTTAGATATTTTTAGATGATGAATAAAAAGTCCTTTCTATTTCACAGATAGAGAAAAAACGAAAAACTGTTTCACTCTTTTCCCTTCATTAAAAAATGATGAATTCAATTCTACATGGTTGAATAAAGATTTGATTACCCATTTGGTTTGATAGAGCTGCAGCACTATCAAAATAAACAAATCCTCACCTCATTACTCATCAAAAATTACAAATCCAGACCTTTACATCGATCGTCTCAACTTAAACATTATGGTAGTAAAAAAAAAAAAATTAAGCTCTAAAAAAAATATATTTTTATGATAGATTTTTTTGGTGTACCTTAATTCTAACCTAATATAAACTTTTTCCTTAAAGTGGGATTCAGGTATAAAATAAGAGTGCAGGAGTATAGTGTACACAGACTGTTGAAAATATATGGGTGGAATGAGGGCTAAGAAATATTGCTCTCTCTCTCTCTGTGCGTCCTACCCCACCCCCACCACCAAAAATAAAAATAAAAACATAAATTTTTTCTTCCCACAACGACATACTTAACCATTCTCTCTCTCTCCACAAGCATGGATAGGATCCACTTGAAAATTGACATAATTCTTCAGTGTCCACTCTCTCTCACACACACACACACCACAAGCATGCCTAGGCTCCATATGACATTGACACCACATAATTCTTCATTGTTACCCAATTCTCTCTCTCTCTCTCTCTCTCTCTCTCTCTCTCTCATACACATCAGATCCACATGGCTCCAATAAATCTGGTTATGAAGGAATGAGATAGGAGAAAACAAGGAATAAGCAAATCCAATGCAGTTTTCTCATCAAAATCAAGGCACAGTTCCCCTGTTGCTCTAAAGTTGTAACAAAGTTAACTCCACCATCCACTAAATTACTTGAAAGTATGAGAAAAAAAGAAAATACCACCTTCCGTATTTCCTTATAATTTCTTGTCATAAAGGCATTGAAATACCTACAAAAAGATAAAGAAAGAAGAAATCGATAAAATGGAGTTTTAAGACCATGAAAGCATGGCTGATAATTTCTTGTCAAAGAGGCATTGAAATACCTACAAAAAGATAACAAAAGAACAAATAGATAAAAAGGAGTTTAAGAACATGAAAGCATGATTAGCCATGATACATAAAGCAAAAGCTTGTGTGTGTATTGTGGCCATACATTTGTGTGTGGGTATAATACACACGCACACAAAATAGAAAGCTAGATGCATACACACACAACATACACATGAACACGTGCGTGCACACACAACAACACATATAGACCAACTACAATATCAGTTGATCCCCAAAATACATGAAGGGATTCTTTTGGGCTGAAACTTTGCACATTTTGATTTGAAGAATAAACAATTAAACAAACATATTTTATTCATTTTGTATTGTTGACATCTCAAAAAAAAAAAATCACCTTTTCCCTTCTTTTATACAAATTCAATATTTTCCTTTTTTTTCTTTTATTCATTTGTTCGCCTAGTTGAGGTCTACATGTGTGTAAAATCTGGGGTCGAACTAATCCCTACTTTTCAAAGTGGCTTACGCTGTCATATAAGCTGGTTGACTTGTATAATCTTTTTCCAATCTCTTTTCCCTATACATGAGAGAGAGACCCTGAAGATCTCTAAAATACTAATCAAGCACTAAGCTTTCATCCAGACTGTCTATGATACTTCACCTATGAGAAACATACATCAGACATCCACATCCAGAGTGTCTATAATACTTCAATTGCTGTTTCAAAAGACTAAATGCTAGAACCTTTTCGGAACCTCCATTAGGTTCGGTAGTCAGCAATGATTTTCCGAAACCGGAATAAAAGATATGTCCCAATTATTTCCATTTTCTTCTTCATGTAAGTTATGCAAATAGAGATAGAAATTTCACTTGAAACTTGAAAGAAAACGTAAAAATGGAGTCGGAAACAAACCCCATATAAGATTTATTTTATTACTTACAATTGAAGAATGAAAACCCAGTTAAGCATTGAGGGGATGGGAAGCCAAAAGTTAGTCCCTCATGTACCAGAAACCTCATCATTCTCATAGATAAATTTCGTGTTAATTATTCCGCTGATATTTGGAAACAATATCCATTTACTGTGACTGCAATTTTCAATCCAGGTTCTAACCTAAACAAAGATAAGGGAAAATTTCGTATAGAACCCTAATTCCTCATATTATTTCATGGTAGACCCTCTTTCCGTTTTTCTTTCAAATGGCATAAGAAAATCCCTAAAGGATTTCACCTTACCCCCTCATCTCTTATCTCCGTCTTTTATCGACTTTTGACCATAAAAATTAGCCTCAACAAATCTTTTTATATCATTTCATCTCAAAA